TTTGGGCGCGGTTCTGGGCGGCCCTCGACGACGTGGGGGTCGGCAGCGTCGCCATCCACAAGGTGAAAGCGCACGCCGCGCTGGCGGACGCGCAGGCGGAGCGCGCCACGGCCTGGCAGCGGCGGGGCAATCACTGCGCCGATGCCCGCGCCGTGCAGGGCGCGCAGATGCATCCCAGCGACGACGACGTGCGAGATAGGAGCCGCAGGCCGGATCGCCTCGTCAAGAAGGTCTTCTGCTGGCTGGGTTCGGCGATGCAGGACGGCGACGCCGAGCTCACGGCAGCGGACGGGCACGAGGGCCCAGGCTTGGAAGCAGTTCGGTGCGATTGGCGCGGCTGCAAGATGCGATGGCGAGCTCGCTGCAGTTCCCCCGACTGCCCGCAGCGCACGTGCGGGCGGCACGGGACGTGGCTGGACGTCGACGGCGACACGGTCTGGGCCTGCCAGCAGTGCGCGGGCAGGGGCGACGCGCTCGCGGGCTCCTGGGCCTCAGGGGCCGAGAGCAGTGGCGGATCGGTCGCTGCAGCCGCGGCGCTCATCACGGCGGGCGCGGCGCTGCTGTCCCACAGTCAGGCCAGCGAGGCACCAGCACAGGTGGAAGGAGACGAGGCGAGTGCAGGGCGAGTCGGCAGCGGCGCGCCTGGCGGCGGCCAGCGGGGTAGCCCACCGACGTCGGGGGGCCCTTCTGGGGCCGGTGGCGGGACCCCGCCGCTGCCGCCGCCGCAGCTCCCGCCGTGGTGGGGATTCGACGCCCACGGCTCCCACGACCTGTGGCGGGCTGGTAACCACCTCTTCTGCGTGAAGTGCGGCTACTGGACGCAGAGCCGCAGGATGGCGGGCTTGGCAGCGGAGTGCCCGAAGGCCCCCAAGAACGATAGGCAGGAGGCGGTGCTCAGCAGGCTGAAGCGCGGCCTGCAGCCCGCTGGGACGGGCGGCATCGGTGACCCTGAGCCGCTGCGGCGCATGCGCAGGCGCGTCGATGGTGGCTAGGCTCTTTCTTGCCACGCTTGCCGCCTCGCTCTGTCTGCCATCACGCGAACAGACGTGTGGTTTGCACACGGCTGTTCGGGCTGCCTCTGCAAGGCAACCAAACCCTACTTTGGTGCCTCAGGTCGCGTGAGGGTGTTGCCTTGCGGGGGGAGTCGCTGCTGCGAGGCGCGTTCCGCGCCGCTCTCCAGCAGCGCCGCCCGCCCCAGTGCTGAGGCGGAACCAAGTGCGCAGGGGTTTCCACGCGCACGGGATCGGGCTCGGCTGCCAGCGGCAACGTAGCAGGTCGGCATCTGGCCAGGACCCGCTGCGGTGTTGGTGGCGAGGTGCAGCCGCTTGCACGGTGCTTAGTCGGGCGCGCTTGTGCCTTGCATGCTCGCCCTGCGGAAGCTGAACCAGGTGCGTAGGTTCGCCCACGCACGGGATCGGGCTCCGTCTGTTCTGTGTTGCTCTGCCCCCGCCCTCGGGCGGAGGCTGAACCAGGAGCGTAGGATTTCCCACGCTCGGGATCGGGCTCTGCTGCCAGCGGCAACGTTACGTCCCTTGGACGCGGCGATGCTGCAGGCTAGGCAGCTTTGCTCGGCGCTCGTGCCCCGCTCTTGAGCTAGCTCGTGCCGTTGCACGGCTCTCGCTCGAGCGGAAGTTGGACCATGTGCGTAGGTTTCCACGCACTGGAGCGCTCCGTTTAATGTAGTGGCTGGGGCGCTTGCCGCGACGGCCAGCGCTTCTTGCGCCCCAGCGTGCTCTGCTCTGTGCCGCCAGTCGGAGGCTGGACCGTGGTGGTAGGTTCGCACACCGCCATGGTTGCCTCCGAAGGCCACCGCATTGCAAACCTTCCCTGTCCTCGGCCATGTGCCAGCGGGAGGTTTGCGGTGCTGTGGCACCTCGAGCCAGCATGCTGAGTTGCCGTGAATGCTCGATGCCCTGCCTTCCGCTTGCCTCGGCCGAGGCGGATGGCGTGGCCTCTAGTCTTCAGGCGAGGCTGCGAGTGTGCCTTGGGCACGGGTCAGGCCTTGCGTCCGCAGCGCCAGAGGGAAAGACCATGGCTTCGGGAGGCTGTATCGAGCGGGGAGTTCCAGACCTTCTTGGATGCGTTCATCATCATCATCAGCATCATCATCATCATCATCATCATCATCATCATCATCATAATCAGCATAATCATCATCAGCATCATCATAATCGTCATCACCATTATCAGCATCATCACACTTTTCATCATCATCTGCACCATCTTCATCATCAGCAGCAGCATCATCATCGTCACCTGCAGCATCATCAGCAGCCACATCACCATCCTGATCATCATCATCAGCACCATCATTGTCATCAGCAGCATCATCAGCAGCCGAATGACCATCGTAATCATCATCATGCTCATCAGTATCATCAGCATCGGTATCATTAGCATCAGCATCATCAGAAGTACCATCACCATCAGCATCATCACACTGATAATCATAATCATCATCATCATCGTCATCATCATCATCATCACCATCATCATCGCCATCATCATCAGCATCAGCATCGCCATCATCGCGAGCATCGTCATCAATATCATCGTCGCCATCATCATCATAACCATCACATTCATATTCATGTTCATAGTCATACCCACCAGCACGATGGTCATCAGTATATTCATTATCCTCATCATCACCACCATCATCATCGTCATCGTCCATCGTCATCGTCGTCATCGGCATCATCATCATCAGCAGCATCATCAGCATCGTCCTCGTCCTCTTCCTCGTCATCACCATCGTCATCATAATCACCATAATCAGTATCACCACCACCACCAGCATCATCAGCATAATCACCCATGTGATCACTATCGTCGTCATCAGCATCATGATCCGCATCATCATCGTCCTAGAAATAAGCGAAGAGGCCCCCAAGAGGGCCTCATAACGGCCCAAGAGGGTCCCTGATGATCCTTAGGCTTTAGGGGTGCCCAAAGATTCCTAGAACTTCCGCAAGATTCATGAACATTCCTGACGATCACTGAGAATTCCTCCAGATGCCTCACGAAGCCGAAGGATTCCCGAGGATCCCTTCGGCATCCCTTTGGGATCCCTGAGGACTCCTCCTGATGGATCCCTGAGGATGTCTGACGGATCCGTGAAAACTCTTGATGGCCCCTCTTGAAAATTCCTTTGCGTTGCTGAATATCCACGAAGATCCCCAATGATTCCTACGGATTCTAAGCGATTCCTGATAGATCCTGGAGGATGTGTGACGGATCCCACAACGGATTCCTCCTCAGGATCCCGATGCATTCCCGAAGACCCCTGATGATCCCTTAGGGTTCCTCACGATCCCTGAGGATTCCTCTGGACTCCTGAGGGTTCCGAAGAATTCACAAGAAGGGTTCATGAGTCTTCGGGGGGATTCTTCAGGATTCCTGCTGATTCGTCTGGATTCCTGAGGGTCCCTGAAGATCTTCGGGGATCAGACTTCCCGATCCCTGGGGATCCTGAAAATCCCTGGGGGGCCTTTCGGATTACTCAAGACTCCTGCGAATTCTTATGGTTTCCTGAAGGTCCCTTTCCGTAGTGATCATGAGGATCCCTGAAAATTCCATCGGTAAGGATTCGTGATGATCCCAAAGGATTTCAGAGGAACCCTGAGGACCTCCGAGGGTTCGCAAGCATGCGGAAGCATTCAGGACCCCCGAAGACCCCCAAGTATGCCAAAAGCCTTGTAAAGATTCGTAAAGATTCCTGGGGGCTCCGGAGGGCCCCCAAGGATCCCAGAGGATCCCTGGCAGTTCGCAAAGATTCGTAAATATTCCTCGGGATCCATGGCGATTCTTGAAAGTCCCTGCCGATCTCTGAGGATGCCTGAAGGTTCTCAATCGCCCTCTGAAGATCCCAGAGGATTCCTTGCGTTTCGTAGCGGTTTTCGAATGTTCAGCCACATTCCTGGGCGTCCTTCAAGATCCCCGAAGATTTCTAAAACAAACTTATGGCATATTCCGAAAATCCAGGGGGCCCTATGGATGCCCGGGCATTCCTCAAGATGCCCTGCGATCCCCGAAGGCCCCTGCCAAGGGGCGACGTAGAAGCTGTCGAGGGGCGGCTTAGAAGGTGCTAAGGAACGCATTCGAAGCTGCCGAATCGCGCTTTAGAAAATGCCTAGGAACGCCTCAAACATTGCCGACGAACGCCTGAAAAGCTGCCAAGGGGCGCCTCAGGAGCTGCCAAGGCGCTTTAGAAACTGCCAAGGGGCTTCTGGAAAAAGTTCCGAGGCTTCAAAACTCCAGCGCCTTTGGAACTTACAACTGGGGAGTGGAACTGATTTCCGGGGAAATGATTGTTCGGGGGGGAGGAGGAGAAGGAGGAGGAGGAGGAGGAGGAGGAGGAGGGGGAGGAGGAAGAGGAGGAGGAGGAGGAGAAGAAGGAAGAAGAGGGAGAGGAGAAGAAGGAGGAGGAGGAGGAAAAGGAAAAGGACAACGTGCCAGGAGCACAGCTGGGCGACTCGGGCGAGGGCCGAATGAAAGGAAACGAGCCCGAACACCTCCCCAACAGGGGAGTGCCAGCAGGCACAGCAGCGCCAACAGTCCGGGTCCATGCCCCCGTGGCGTGCTAAGTGCGCGAAACAGGACACGCAAGGAGACCGTGCTCCGCGCGCCCTGTTCGGTGTAGGGGGCGCCGGAATTCGTGCTCCGACGCCCAACCTACCCACCGCCCACTCCATGGGTGGCCGCTGGCGACGAAAGCAATTTTCTCTCTCCTTGGCCCCCTACGGGTTAACAAGGGTGACGGTCGGGCTGCTACCCGCCTGTTTTCCTGGGAAGAGGCTACAGTGGCACAGGTGCCAAGACGATGAGGAGGAGGAGGAGGAGGAGGGGGAGGAGGAAGAGCAGGAGGAGGAGGAGGAGGAGGGGGAGGAGGAGGAGGAGGAGAACGAGGAGGAGGAGGAGGACGAGGAGGAGGAGGAAGAGGAGGAGGAGGAGGGAGGAGGGGAGCAGATCTGAGTGCGGTTGGCGGCCCCCAGGACAGC